AAAAAAGAGAAAAAAGAAAAAGAAACAAAGTATAATATATTGTTATAACAGTAAGTTTCAATTCTATATATACTTATCTAATTCAAATATGCAAGTATAAATATATTTATTTCTAATACACTTATATAACTCTTGTTTTTTTTAACCTACTGTCCCATATTTCATTATACTTGCCCATACAAGGTCTATGTCTATAGGCAATCCGTTCATAGGTGGCAAATGTAATCAGGTCTTTGATCCATTGAATAAATGGGCCCATACATTTATCTTTCCAATGCTGCAATATCAGGCTTTTGGCCATAGTAAGGGCAGAGAATCCATTTACATTGTTCAGTTGTGAAATTCCATGTGCTATGTATGCAATTCAAGAGAATATTATCCTCTGAAAATTTTAGCTTTTGTTGCGTAGTCACATAGATTCTACTTTCTCCCAAAACTTAGTAAGTATAGGACGTTGTAAAAGCATGTGTTTTAAGTAAGCATTATCCCTATTACATCTCGAACAAAATAGAACACAACTCTAGTCTGGAAAAAGTTACACACTCCTGCAACTAAATAACAATTTGTAGATCAATCTGTTCTTGTGTTAGAATGCACATCCAAATGAATGTTCTACTGAAAGAAAAGCAGAATAGTGCATTTAGGATTGGGGGAGGAGACAACTTTCTTATGGCTGGCCAGTCCTTTTTCAATGAAGCATTTTTGGCCTCTGAAGGCTGGAAGACTGTAGTGATGTCATCACATCATATTATTGGCAGTAGGTAAGGTCAAAAGTTTGAGTCATTTTGGTGGATTTGGGGGCTTCAACTCAAAATGGGAACACTAATCCAAATTCGGGGAAAAGGTTGGGACTGTGAAGGCCACAAACAGAATGCTGGAAGCAATGTAGAGCTCATACAGTTCTGCACCTCTGATTTAGAAATACTAATAGGAAAATATTCCATATATAAATATGGAAGTCTTTCCACGCATGTGTCATGCACTCAAGGTGTAGAACATCAGTCCAGATGTCTCTTCTACACACACACACACACACGGCAGGGGGAACAACTACAATGTCAAATGTCAAAAATATGCAAGACTACAAGGCGGTCTTTTCCCCCCATAACTGCTTGCATGTCCCCATGCAACTGTTTGCATGATACTTTACTATAAACAAAATGTATAGTAACATTTATTGTCAGTGATATAGTACTTACATCTTAGCTATGTAACTAACATTATGACACTGATAAGCAAAAACTTCTGAACAAGGGCAGGGGGAAGTATTCCTGTAAGCGCTATTCTTGAGTTCTAATTGTAAGTCTCCTTGAGGCCTTTTCTGAATCAAAAGGCAACCCAGACTGCATGCAAGCTACCTGGATCTAATATAACCTTAAAGGTAGTTTTTAGATGCAACTTGTTCAGATATGATGGGAGAATGGAATCTTGACTGGTAGCCAGGAGAAAAGACTTGCTCACCAGCAGTAATCTGAGTAGCAAACTGGTAAATAACTTTACCAGTTATGAAGAAAATTCAGCCTGAAAGCTCATCAATCTTATTACCTACTGCATGGCTCCAAAGCCATGTAAGGCATATGCTCTAATATAATCTCTTACAATTCTTTAAACAATATTTAGACATCATACAAGAAATATTTGACATCACACCAGATAGCCTTCGAGGACGCTCTCTAAACTGAAAGATTCACATTACAGTTGTTTCATAAGGAATAACCAAATTAAGCAGTAATAAAATCCCACTGCCAATTTGTAATTCTGCTTCCATATTCAATATGTAACAATCTCATTGAGAAGCAGAAGCAGCTTGTTTGTATGAAAGGCAGAGCCAAAT